GGGACAGGAAAGGGGATCCCCATTGCCCCCTATCCAAGGGGCCCCACAGCCCCAAAATACCCCCAGGGCTCCACAGCCCGGGGGGGGCACCGGCACCCCCCGCACCGCAATGAATGAGAAACCGGGACGGGGGGGGGGGGGTTAAGGAAGAAGCAGGCTCCTACCACCACCACCAGCAGCCCCCACGGAGGGGGGGGGAGAAAAATCCCTCTCCCCATCCCCAAATCCCCGACGCGCCCCGGCTCCCACCCCGGTTTCCCCCAAGCCCCGGCGCTCGCCCCCCCCTTATATTTTTAGGGGACCCCCACCCCCGGGACTCACAGGCGAGGGGTTCGGCGTGGAGGAGGCGCAGGCAAAGCGGCAGCAACAGCGGTAGAAGCGGCGGCATGGCCGGTCCCGGTCCCGGTGCCCGTCGGTGCCCGGGGCTGCGGGAGCGCACCGGCACGTCCGGGGAAGTCCCGAGCAAGTCTGAGCAGCCCCCGCTCTGCCAAAACCCTAAATGCCGCCCTCGCCCCGCCCAGCCCGGCCCGGGACCGCCCCCGGGGGGGTAGAAAACCCCCCCCTCGGGGGAGGGGGTCCGGGGTTTTGCTCCGGTACCGGCCGTTTGCTCGCGGTTTTTCTCCCCCCCCGCCCCTTACCCAAAGCATCTCCGCCTCCGGTGCGTCCCGGGCGCCCCCCGGGGGATCTCGGCGAGGGGATGCTGAGCCCGGTGCCCCGTTGCTTTCCCCCGGGAGGTGAGGGAGAGCCGGCCCCTTCCCCCGGGTGACTCATGCGCTGCCTTCCCGGCCACTCCCGGGCCCCCGGGGCCGCTCCCGGCCGCGCTCGGCGCTGCGCACCCGGCCCCCGCCGCCCCCGCGGGGCCGCCCCTCGATGGGGGGGGGGGAGGTTTGGGGAAAGGGGAGGGGGGGGGGAGCCCCCTCCTCACCCCCTCCCCCAACTGGAGATGGGGTCTCGGGGATGGGTTCTGGGTTTTTGGGGTGGAAAGCGGTGTGTTTTTCCCCAAAATGCAGTGGTTTTGGTTTTTTTTTCCATCGAAGGTGAGAGCGTTGTTTTTTTTCCCCCGAAATAATAAAAAATGGGGAAATGTCCCCAAGCGGCCGTCGGGGCTGGGCTCCGTTTGGCCCCAGGAGGCAGCAAGGAGTTAATGGTGGGTGCGGGTGGCGGTGCCACGGGTGACACCCCCCACTCGTGGGTGCCGGCTCCTGTCCCCCCCCCGTCCAGGACTCGATGGCACCGAGAGCCCTCGGCCAGCAGGTCCTGGTGGCATCAAGGCCATTGTCCCCATGGCCAGGCTGGGTGCCCAGAGAGCACCCCCATGCTGTGGGGGGGTGTCTGGGCTGTATCCTCACCCCCCTGTCCCCCTCAGGAGGAGGGGACGCAGGAGGGACCCCATGGCCCCGAGCCCTGAGGTTGGGATGGGGACGGGAGCCCGGAGCCCACGGGGTGACACCGCATGGGGACGGGGGTGACACCACGTGGGGACAGGGACGATGCTGCAAGGGAATGGGTGCGGAGGTGGTGGGCACCCTCCGAAGGGACTGCGCAGAATTAAAAAAAAAATAATAATAATAAAAAGAAGAGAGCCCGAACAATGCCTTTTCCCATCGTCCTGTTTTTTTGGAAGCTTCTGAACTGTTTTTGTTGAAATTTCCCAAAAATGTCAGCCGCAGGGAGACACCCAGCATGGGAAACTTCGCAGTCTGGCAGCGGCAGCCCCGGCCGCCGTGGGGGTCTTGACCCGAGCGTGGCCTCGTGGGGTCCCCGTGGGTATCGGGGGGGGGACGACAGCGGTGTCAGGAGGGGTCCCCGCTGGTGGCACCCTTGGGACTGGTGTCCCCCTGTCCCTTCTGGTGTCACTCACCCTCCCCAACCCCCAGCTCGGACCCGCTGGCTTAACAGGGCGTGGGATGGGGACGGGGCAGGAGGGCACGGACCCCAAATCCGGGTACCCTCGGGGCGGTGGCACCCGGTGCTGGGCCGGGGGGGGGGGGCAGGATCCGGCCGTCAGCGGGGAGCAGCCGGAGATGCCAGAGGAGCTCGGCCGCCTTCTGAGTCAGTGCGGCCGTCGGAAAACAGATGTGGTGAGCGCTGCCCTTTGACAGTGACCTTTAAAGCGCTGAGTCCGCGGCCGCCGCGTCCTGCCCACGAGCCGCCGCACGCGCTGCCATCAGCCGGGGAGGGCAGGATTTGGCCGCCTGCTCCCCCCCCCAAAGCCCAAGGTGGTCCCAAGGGGCCTGGAGCGGTCAGTCTCAGGACCCCCCCCCCCCTCCTTGCTCTTTTTACCCCCCTCGCAGCACTGGAGCTCCCTTCCCAGGGCCTCTCTGCGTTATTTTGGCACCCTCGTGGCGCGGGGCAGGATGCGGCCGTGGGGCCCGGAGCTCCTCGCTCTGCCCGGTGGGATGCGGAGGGATGGAGCCAGGAGCCCGGCGGTGTCCCCAAAACGGGGCTGAGCACCCCGGGGGGGGGATCCTGCTCCCTTCCCACCCCAGCTGGCACCCTGGGGCCGAGGTCCCCTTGCCACCCTCTTGCCAGCGCCGCGTCGCGTGGCACCGGGGCCGGGCCCGGCACTTTTACCCCGAATTAATCCAATTACTTGGATTTCCCAGCCAGAGCTCGCTCCATAAAGTCCTTGGACAGAGATAGCATCTGGCTCGAGGGCCAGGGTGTAAAAAACAAACAAGGAAAAAAAAAAAAAAAAAAAAAAAAGCAGAGAAAAAGCCCGAGGAAAGGCGCAGCGGAGCTGTCTGACTGCCTGCATCCTTTTAAAGTGACCTGTGGGAAAAATAAAGAGGCTAGAAATGCAAAGAATCCAGCAGTCAGAGTTTTCTTTCTATTCCTCTCTGCAACATTTCCACATTCGTGGGTAATTTATAACCCGCTTAACCCCTTCCGTGCCGCCCCCCCCCCCCCCCCCCTCCCCAAAGCGCAGCCCCTCGCCCGCCGGGCGGCCGCACCTTGCCGGCTCTGTTTGCTTTGGGAAGCACAAAAATCCCCGCCGCCGCCTCGCTGTTTGCTGGAAAAGGGGGAAAAAAATCCCACTTATATCAAGGGGGTGCTCGAGTGCCGGGGCCGGTGCCGGGGTGCAGGGCTCGGGGTGGCCGCGGTGGCACCGGGGTGGCCGCGGTGGTGGCGGGAGCCCGGGCGGCCCCAAAAACGAGATGTAGGGGCAGGGGTGCTGCAGGCATGGAGAGGTTCTGGAGAGGGGTGGGAGGAGGGAGGGCGAGGAATTACCCGGCGGTAAATATTTGCCAACTGGGATATTGTGGCCTGGGAAGGTTTTTTTTTTATTATTATTAAACGTGAGCGAATCGAGGGCCAGGAGCGCGGGCTGGGGCCAGGCATCTTGCAGGCAGGTGCGAGCCTTTCCCACGGGCTGCTCTGCCAGCGCTCTCTCCCAGTTCTCCCAGTGCTCCCAGTGCTGCCAGAGATGCTCTGCCATCAGGGTTTTGTCCCCCCCCCCAGGTCAGGGCAGCGGCTCTGCCCCCCCCTGCAGCACTGTGCCGTGATTTACGGTGGCAGCCCCCAATCTGCCCCATTTTCTTCGCCATTCATCACCGGGGCCAGACATGAGGCCGTGGGGCTGGGGGGGGGTCTAGGAGGGGGTCGGGGGGAGCGGAGCCAACCCCACAGCCCCCCCTGAGCCCCTCCAGAGCACGTTTTCCCCCCGCCCTGCTTTGATTAACGAGATGAATAAGCTGGCGGAGCGCAGCGGGGCGAGGAGAGGAGCCAGGGGCAGCGATGCTCGAGGGGACCCAGCCCCCCCCCAAGCCCAGCGGGAGCCCCCCCCTTCCCCGGGCTGGGGTCCTGCCATGTGTTCCCCATTAGGGCTGGAGGTTAGCGGAGCCCCCAGCCCCCCTCCTCCTCCTCCTCCTCCTCCTGCTTCGGGGTGCTGCCATAAATAAGGCTAATGGGCAGCGTGGCGGCAGCGGGCGTGAGGCCGGCCCCGTGCCTTTGATGTCTCCTAAACCTTGGGAAATAAAAGTTGTAAATCTGGGGTGTCGGGGGGGGGAGCCCCCGGCAGCGCGCCCTCGTTGGGAAGGGGCCCCGCCGGCACCTGGCCTCGCTGGGGGCTCAGCTGGGAGCCGAAATTTGGGGGATGTTGGCCTGGGGGTGGCACAGCCCAGCCCCTCTGCGCCCCTGTCCTTCTGTGTCACCAGCACCAGTGGTCCCCAGTCTCTGGGTGCCCCCCCCAGTGTCCCCCCCCAGTTTCTCTGCATCCCCCAGTGCTGCTGCATCCCCTGGTCCTGCATCCCTCTGCATCTGCAGCCCCACATTCCCTGTCCCCTCTGCATCCCCCGGTGTCCCCCCCTGCTCCCCGGTCCCCCTGCACCTCCTGGTCCCTGAGCACCCCCCCTGGTGTCCCCCCCATCCCTCGGTTTTCCCGTGTCCCTGTGTCCCCTCCAGCCCCCCCTGTGCTTTCCGCTCCCCCCCAGCACCCCCAGTGCCCACCCACCCATCCATCCCCCTGTCCCCTGCATCCCCCATCCCGCTGTGCCCCTGGTGCCTGAGCATCCCCCTGACCCCCCCTTGTCCCCCTGCATCCCCCGAATCCCCCCTCCCCCTGCATCCCCTACAACCCCCCGTCCTGCTGCATCCCCGGTGCTTCAGCATCCCCCTGTCCCCATCCCCCTGCCCCCCCCCGCCCCCTTGCATCTCCCCGTCCCCCCCCATCCCCCTGTCCCCTTCCACCCCCCCGGTACCTGAGCATCCTCCTGCACCCCCCCCCGGACCTTCCTATCCCCCCCCCTTGTCCCCCTTCACCTCCGGTGCCCGAGCATCCCCCGGTCCCCCCGCATCCCCGCATCCCCGCATCCCCGCGCACCCCCCGGTACCCCGTTTCCCTTTCCCTCAGGACACGTTTTTTTATTATTTTTTTTAAATTTTAATTTTTTTTTTTTTTGGGGGGGGGGCCTCTCCGGTGCCGCCGGAGCTGCGGCAGGCTGCGGCGGCTCCCCCCCCGCCCGCGGCTTTCTCCCCGCCGCCCCCTCCCGGCGCACGGCGCGTCACGGCGGGGCCGGCACCGGCGGCGGCGGCGGCGGCGGTGGCGGTGCCGGTGCCGGTGGCTGCGCTCCGCTCCGCTCCGTGCCTGCCATGGCCTCCCCGGGCCCCCGGGCCCCCCCGTTTCTCGTTCTCGGTTTGCTCCTGGCCGCCGCCTCCGCCACCGCCGCCTCCGCCGCCGCCGCCACCGATCCGTTCTCGCCCCAGCTCGGGGACACCGGAGCTTGTCACCGGCAGTGCGGCCGCAGCCTGCAGCACCGGGCCGTGAGTGGGGGGGGGGGCCGGGCGGGGGGCACCGGGAGAAGCGGGGGGAAGCGGAGGAGAAGCCGGGGGAGCAGCCGGAGCGGCGGGGAGGGGCAACGGGAGAAGCGGGGGGAGAACCGGGAGAATTGGGGGTGAGAATCGGAAGAATTGGGGGGGAGCACCGGGAGAAGCCGGGGGTGGAACCGTGGGCACCGGAGGGAGCACTGGGAGAACTGGGGGGGAGCACTGGGAGCACTGGGGGGGAGCACTGGGAGCACTGGGGGGAGCACCAGGAGAACTGGGGGGAGCACCGGGAGCACCGGGAGATGGCACCGGGAGAAGCGGGGGGAGCACTGGGAGCACCGGGGGTGCACCGGGAGAAGCAGAGGATGGCACTGGGAGCACTGGGGGGAGCACTGGGAGCACTGGGGGGGGAGCACCGAGGGCATCAGGAGCACCGCGGGGAGCACCGGAGGGGGCACCGGGAGCACCGAGGGGGGTGGTACCGGGAGCACCGGGCATCACCATCCCGCAGGGACCTGGGGGCCTTGGGGGGGCCACGCTGCACCGAGCCCCGCTGGGGATTTGGGGTGCCCCCAGTGACCCCCACTGGCAGCCCCTGCCCGGGTTTGGGGTGCCCCCAGTGCAGGGGGGCAGCTTGGGATGCCCGCAGTGGTGCCCCCCTCCCCAGATCAGGGGTGTCCCAGGGGTCCGTCCCACCCCCCCTGGGTATGGGGTGCCCCAGTGAGCCCCCCCCAGCCCCCCCCTGCATCCAGCACCGGTGAGGCCCGGGGCAGAGCCACCCCCAGCTGCGGTGGCCGGGGGTCAGTGGGGATGGGGCCAGTAGGGATGGGGTGGGGGGCAAGCAGGTGATGCTGGGGGGGGTCCAGCATTGACCCAGGGATTCAGAGGAAGGCGAGCGCTGCTCGCTGGACCCGGAGCATCACGGAAAGCCCCGGATCAGAGCCCTGCTCGTGGCACCGTGCTGGGGACCGGCTGGTGATGGGGCCACGCAGGGGATGCAATCCAAGCCACGGGCACGATGCGGCTCTGTCTGTTTGTAATGCCAGCAATAGGGAAAAAAAAAAGGGCTGGGGTGGGTCCTGGCCCCTGCTGCAGGGGAGCGGGGTTGGGGGCCACGCACGGCAGGGCCGTATCCAGGCCGGTGCCTTGGCAGGAGCCTGCACAGCCCCCGCTGCCCGGGGGTGGGCATGGAGATGTCCCCCCAGCTGGGCTTGTTGGGTGCTGGAGGCAAAGGGGGGGCAGCTCCTGGCGCTGCCTGTGGGTGCACAGACACCCCCCAAGCACCCCCAGCCCCCCCGGTGCCACCAGCACCCCCAATTGTGCGCACACCCACGGTGGTGCTGACCCCAGCGCGTGGCCCCTGTTGCCCCCATCCCTTACGGGGTCCTTGCGGTGCCAGGGGGGGGCCGTGCCGGGGGGTCGGGCGCAGCCCCCGGGGCTGAGCTCGGTGCCAGCTCCGCGCCGTCCTCCTCCTCCCTGCAGGATGCTGTTCTCAACGCCTGTTACCGGGGCTGCCGGCTGTTCTCCATCTGTCACTTCGTGGATGCGAGCGCGGCGCTCAACACAACCAGAGCCGAGTGTGAAGCAGGTGAGCAGCCGGCGGCCCGGCGGCCCCCGCTCCCCAAAAACTGTCCAAAAGGGGCTCCTCCACTCACCGCTGTCACCGCCCCGGCGCCTTCCACCCTCCCTGGCTCCCCTGCGCCCCAGGGGCCGCATCCTGGGCATCCCGCTGGGGAGGGTGGGATTTGGGGAGGGTGGTGCCGGTTTCCCCATTTTTTTTTTGGGGGGGGAAGGGACAATTTGGTGATGGAGCCGGGGCTTGGGGTGCTACTGGTGGGATTTTTGGGTGACGTGGAGCTCGGACCCAGCACCCTGGCTCCGTACTGAGCGCCCCCAATCCTCCCGGCAGCGTGCGCCGAAGCCTACAGCAACGCGCAGGAGCGCTTCGGCTGCAGGACCGGGTGCCAAAAGCAGCTGCCGGAGGTGGAAAGCAGGATGGACAAGGTGAGGGGGGGGCATCGGGAGCCCCCAGCCCACCCCTTCCCACCCAGCCTGTCCCCACTGGGTCCACGGTGCTGCTTAATTAGTGCTGCCGTTAATTGGGCTCCAGCAGGCGTTGGTTTGGGACGGGGCGATTCCGCTGAGCTCCCCAGCTGGGAGGTTTTGGCCAGGTATTGTGAATTCCCCCAGTTTTGATCCTTTATCCGTCCCGGCAATTAGCAACGCTTTCCCTCCTGCGTTTAATTAATCCAGCTTTTGCCCAATTAATTAAATTAGACTTTGGCCCAAGGTAGAAGCTCTTGGCTCCGTACGCGTGCAGGCTGAGATGATTTTGTGCCGTGGAAGGCAGGGGTAAGGCACCGGGCTCCTTCCCCAGCCACGTTTGGGCCCTTTTCTAAGAGCCTCAGCCCCGGGGTTGGGGACAAACATTGGGGACAAACCCCTGCGCTGTCCCCCAGCCCCAAATGTGCCGCCCCCCCCCCCCTTCGCCCGCCCAAAGCCTTTTTTTCCTTTGGGTTCCCAGACAAGCAGGCAAAGCAGATTTAGCATAATAATTAGATACAGAATCTGACCTATTTATTTCCTGTTTGCTGGTTTGACCGTGCAAGGGGCTGTCGGAAAATGTTCGAAGCCAGTGGCAGGGAGCAGCCAAGCGGATTCCAGCAGGGATGCTTTAAAAATAACAAACCGCCGAGACGGCCAAGAATCCAGGGCACGGGGCCGCTGCCAGGAGAGAAACGCCCTCGGCATCTCGGCCGCTGCTCTCCTATTGTTTAAGGCGCTGCTGCGAGCGCGCGGGGCCGGATGACGGCCGTGGGGACCGCGGGCTGGGGGGACACCGCGGGCGCTGGCCCCGGCCGGGTGCGTGCGCAGGTGGCTGCCCCTCCAGGAGCCCTTTGCTCGCTTTGGAGCTGCGTGGTGGTGGGAGACGAGGCTTGGAGATGAGCATCGGGGTCAATCCGGCCACGTCCTCCTGGTGGGACGTTGTCTGCTGGGGTGGGTGGCCGGGGGACGCCGGCGACGCGCTGTCCCCGCTGCTTTGCAGAGCCCCGAGGTGAAGGCGCCACCGTTCTCCGTGCTGGATTTGGTCTCCACCTTCTGCAACGACATCGTCAGCTCTGCCCAGAGCTTCATCTCCTCCACCTGGACCTTCTACCTACAGGCGGATGATGGCAAAGTGGTGGTGTTCCAGGTGGGGGGGGAGAGGGGGGGGACCCCCGGCCGCTCTCCGCTGGGTGCTGAGCAGGCTGGGGACCCCCTCGCCGACCTCGTTCTCCCTCTTCCCTCGCTGCAGTCCCAGCCCCAGCTGGAATTCCCCCTGCCCGAGGTGCAGATGACCCAGCCGGAGCGGCCGGGACCGGGGGCCAGCCCCCATGTCCCGCAGCCCCACGCAGGTGCAGGATGGGGGGGGGGGACCGGGCTGTTGTTGGGGAGGGGGGGGGGTGGTCGGGAGCTTCTGAGCCCTCCTGGCTCCCATCCGATTTCTCCAGAGCGGAACAAATCCCCCAATTCTCAGCTCTGATCCGCTTCCCACCCCCTGCACCCATGCTGAGGGGGGGTGAGGGGGGTGGGACCGTGCTTGGCACCCTCTGGGGTGCTTCTGCGCCCCCCAGCAGAAGGTCCCTGGGGGGAGAGGGACGTATCGAGCACCCCTGCACCCAAATTGCAGCGGGTGCCCGGGCTCAGCATCACCCTTTTCCCTCCCAGGCCCCCGGCAGAAGGAGGAGAAGCACCCCCCTGGGAAGGAGCCGCGGGGCAAAACCAAACCCGCGGACACCCCGCAGCCGGAGCACGATTTCCTGGGCTGCATGGCCAAGTAGGTGCCGCGGGGCTGCGCGGGGCACAGGGGGGGCTGCACCGGGCCGGCCACCCCCTTGCCGTACCCAGAGCCCTGCCATAAACCGGCCCTGTTTTTTGGCGGGGGGCGGCGGGGTGTTACAGGCGCTCGGGCCTTCCTCGCTGGATCCTGGCCGCCTGCCTCTTCCTCTCCATCATGGTGATGCTGTGGCTGAGCTGCGCCAGCTTGGTGACGGCCCCCGAGCAGCACGTCAAGACCCAGGTACGGGGCGAGCGGTGTTGAGTCAGCGGGGGGGTCCCTTTGGGGTCCCCACCACCCCATGTGTCCCCCTCCCCAGTTATATCTGGGTGCTGAGACGTGGCCATCCCAGTCCCCACCATCGTGGCCGGGCTGTTTGTTGTGTCCCCACACCGGGGACCGGGGGGGTCCCGTGCCCTGCTCCGGGGTTGCACGGTTCCCTCTGCCTCTCTTGCAGCCTCTGAGCATCAACGGGGACAAGGAGTTCCTGGAGGACCTGGACGGCCCCGGAGCCTTCCCCCTGCCGCCCGTCATCGCCGTCACCCTGTGCCCTGCGCATGGCGAGGACGCGGGGCCGCTGCCCCTCAAGGTCGACCTGGATAAAACCGTCCTGTAGCTCTCCTGCCCCTTCCCCATCACCTCCCTGCCACCTCGCTGTCACCGTCCCCATGCCGGTGTCCCCGGGTCCTGCTCTTCTCCCCCGTGTCCCCAGCTCCCCGTGGGCTCTGCCTCCGTGGTGGGTGGGGGGGGTCCTGGCTGGATGCCACCGTCACCCCTAGGGCCAGCCTGGGGCTTTTCCTCCTCCGTTAACGTTGCTGCGTGGTGGGCTCCTGCTTCCCGGAGCTAAAAGAGGGCTGCCAGCGTGGGGAGGATGGGGGGAGCCCGTCTGCTCCGGAGCAGAGCCCCCCGGGGCCCCCCAGACCTCCGGGCATGGGTCCAGCGCTGGGCAGGAGGGAGCCGGCTGCGGTGGGGGATGGAGCAACGTCTGCAGCGCTCGGGGCTTTGGCTCGGCACATCCCCGGCCTCCCACCTTGGGCTGAGCCTCCAAGGCGCCGGCTCCGGCCCTGGGAACTCCCTTCCGCCGGCCGGAGCCGATTGCCTCGGGGAGCCGAAACGTGGCGAATGGATTTGGCGTTGGCAGCCGGAGAGAGCGGCGGATCTGGCCGCCTCCGTGCCCACGCGAGGACCCAGCCGGCCCCTCGCAGGAGCTGCCGAGGGGCCCCGGGATGGATCCTTCCCCTCCCTGCTCCCTGAGGCCTCGGGGGTTTTATCTGGTGCTGGTGGGACCGAGCGGGGAGGACGCGGTGGCATTTCCCTGCCCCGTGCTCCTGGGGTGCGCCCGAGCACAATCAGAGGTGCTGGGATGTGCTGGGATGTGCTGGGATGTGCTGGGATGTGCTGGGATGTGCTGGGATGTCTCCGTCCGGGGCTCAGCATCTCTGCCCGCATCCCGGAGAGGCTCAGCCCCCTGAGTGGCACCAGCTCCGGGTCCCTAAAAGGGGCAAGGACCCCCTAGAAGGGTCCCAAGGACCTCGTGGCCAAGCGGAGCCCCTCAGGGCTCGCCCCTGTGCAGCTCAGAGCGGGGGCATCCCCCCACCTCCCACCCTTCTCCATCACCTCCTGCGGCGTTTCGTGGTTTGATTCACACCGGCATGTGGTCCCTCGGCCCCCGGCACCCCGTGGGGACACCCCTGGGGACAGCCCGGCGGTGGCAGTCCCCCCCCCGCAGCCACCTAACACACATGTACAGGATAACTTATTACCCCTGCCCCTCCGCCCCTCGGTTTTTACGCTCTCCCCCTTTTTGGGGGGGCCGCGCTGTGTGTTGTTGCGGGGCAGGGGAGGCTCTTGGCCCCGGCCCCCGCCGGTTTTGTGCTGCTCCATATCACACGTGCAACATATCTGGGTTTGGGGGGGTGTGGGCTTGGGGGGAGGCGCTGCGGGTTGGGAGGGTGGGAGGGGGGCTCGTGTCTGTTTTTGGGGTACACTTCTCGGTGTCGCTTTGTGGCAGCTCAGCTCAGTGTCAAGCTCGGTGCAGTCTGTGTCGTTGTCTCAGCCATGTGGCTCCCCCCGCCCCGTGCCCGGTCCTGGGGGGGGGTAAAACCGTGGCTGGGGAGCACCCATCCCGCATCGGTTTGGGTTCCAAGGAGCAAACCCGGCCCCAAGCTGCCTGCGGAGCCTGGGTCCGGCTGGGCAGTGCGGGAGGGGAAATAAAAGGTTTGTACCAGACCCGGGGAGTTGGTGGCTTTGTGGGGAGGGGGGCTGAGCTCCCGCGTGGGGCTGGCAGTGGGGTGCAGGACCTTTCCCAGCCCGGTGTGTGCCTTTGCAAGCTGGGCAAGGAGGAAATTGCCGATGAATGCAACTTGGTGCAAAAGCGGGGTGGTGTTCCTGGGGGACAGGGTTGGTGACCCCGTGCCGCGCATAAATACAAAGACAGGACGTGGAAAAAGGACTTTTCGCACTTAAAAACCCCAAAAGACACCCAGTTTAGAGAAGGATGACCATTTAGAGAAGGGAAGGTGCCGAGGGGGCCGTGCACACCCAGCTCGAGGGCCGGGACGTGCGGGTGTGCGCGCCCGCACCTTGCCCCCTCGCCGTGTGTTTTTCCTGGCGGGGCGCCCGCGTCCACGCTGCCGCCGAGCTCTCGCCGTGCCAAGCACGCCACGAAGCTCAGGCGAGGGCCCGGAGGCTCGTTCTTAGCACTTCAGGAGCTCAGCAGGGTCCCGTCCTCGGAGCCAGCGGTGGCGCGGGGGCCCCCGAGGAGCCGGGGCTGGTGCTTTGCTCGGCTGCTCCTTGTCCCCGGGACGCGGCGCCGGTGCCGGCGAGGTGCCTGCCCGGCCCCGGGGAGCAGCAGCTGGGTGCTGGGGTGCTTGGTGCACGTCGCAGCCAAAGAAGGCTGTCCCTGGGGGATGCGGAGTGTGCAGCAGCAGCCCTGGGTGGAAGCCAGCAGCTGCTGCTGCCATGGCACAGCCCCTGCATGGCCCTAAATTGGGGGGGGGGGTGTCCCCCCGGCGATGCTGGGTGCTGGTGGGCGATGCTGAGCTCTCCCCGGGCTCAGATAGCTCAGCAGATGGGAAGGGGCAGCATTTCCAGCCCCCTGGGGTGCTGAAGGTTGGAGTCCAGCACTGGGCAGCCACAAGTAGGTGACCCCAAGACACGACCCCCCCCCCCCTCCGTCCCCCAAGTGCCCCCCAAGTGGCTTTCTGGGGGGGGATTTCCACCCACATTTTCCCTGTGGAGCCCAGGACATCAGCGCTGAGCCCTGTTACAGCCTGGGCGAGGATGCTGGCACCCGGCGGCGATGCAGCAGCGGTTGGGTGCAGCAGGAACAACCCCCCCCAAAAAAAAACAACCCTTGGGAGGAAACCCCCATCATGGTGCTGCCTGCGGGGGGATCCCCCCCCTGTGCAGGGCTCTGAGTGCCCCCCGCCACCATTCGGTGCCGAGGGAGGTGGCGGGGGGCGAGATCGGAGCAGACAGCTGGCAAACCCTGCCCCGGCTCCGAGCGGGTCCCTCCTGGGACAGGAGCCGGGCTCCGAGCCGCGGACAAGCTCCTCTCCTTTAAACTGGATCAGATTCCTCGCTGCTGGCTCGGGGTGCAGGAAACCGTGCCCAGGAGCAGGTGAGGAGGGACCCCACTCTGGCGAGGAGGAGACGCATGAAATTAGCTGGTTCCACTCCCCCCAGCAGGCAGCCGGGGCATTTTTCCATCCGACGCCTTTTTCCTTCTCGCTCCCTGTTGTGGTTTTTCATGGGGAAAGCAAAAAAATAAAAAAAATAAAAAAATAAATCGCGGTGTGTGGCCCCGTGAGCGAAGAGGAGAGCGATGGGGAAGAGGAGCAGGACTGCACCCTCCGACCCACGGGGGGCACGGGGAACTGTGCTGGGCCACGTCCTCGCCGCCAGCATCCGTGCGCCCACGCGTCCAGCCCTGGGTCAGAAAGGAGCCACAGGCCAGTAGGTGGGGACTGTCAGCCACACTGCGATGAGAAACAGCCTCCAAAAACTGGGGGAGGCCAACGAGCAGCCCCCCAGGACCTCCTCGTGGACCCCAAAGCATTGACCGGCACGGATTTCCCTCCCCTGTTGCTCTCTGCTGTGTCGTGCGGGGCAGAAAGCCCAGGGATGGGACAGCGGGGTGGGGACGGGCCCTGAGAATTCCCCGCTTTGTACCCCTCCCAATTTCCTCATCAATTCTTCTGGTTTGTAGCAGAGGCTGTGCTGGTTTGGCTGGGTCTGTGTCTGCTGTTCCCCATCGCGCCTTCCCACCAGAAGGGCCGGGTCTGGGGAGATGGTGCTGAGCACAAGGAAGCCACACAAGGTTTCTCCTTGGAGGTCTCTGATAAGAACCCACAATTATGTGGTGCGATGGTTTGGGGCCCTCGCAGAGCAGGGTTTGTGAAGACGATGGAAAAAGAGCCTCTCAGCTGGGGAAGGGCCATTTCCTCGCTGCTCCAGCTCCTCTTAGCACGAGGCTGCCCCAGCACATCAGCACCCGGAGCGCCCAGCGCAAACACTGTGCCCGTGGGTTCCCCTTCCCCGTCCTCCTTCCCGTGACCTACCCAAAGGGAACGGGGCAGCGGGTGATTCAGCAACAAGAAAACCGAAGGAAAAACAATCTCCTGGTGCTAATGGGATTGGTTCTGTCCCTACCACGCACATTCCAGCCCGGCTCAAGGGACCGCTTGGGGGGAAAAAGGAGGGGTTGACGAAGCCAAATTCTTCTCCGTCTTCAAATGGCAGGGTTCGGCGCGGTGCCGTTGGCCGGAGCACCCTCTCCGCAGCCGGCACGGAGCGCCTGCGTGCATCCAGCCCGCCGCCAAGTGACATGCATTTTCCATTCCCTGGGCTTCATTACTTCTTGGAACGCAGACCGCATGCGTTCGGGCCGCGAGGGGCTTTCGCTTCCCTCCGTGTTTATTTTCACTGCCGTGTGTTCTTTTGCCAGGTGAGGAGCGCAGCCAAGCTGGTCAGGGAGAGCGCGGATGTATGGTTGCGGTTTGGCCGGGCGGGTGGGAATCGGGCTCCCCGCAGCACCTGCTCGCCGGCAGGCGTTGGAGAAATCCCACTGCTTGCAACGGGACGACACGTGTGCTCTCTGCGCTTCGCTGCCTCGCGGCCTCGCGGCGAGGCTGGGTGCTGGAGCCAATGCCAAGTGGTTTTGGGGACGGCCAACGGTGCCAAACGCTGTGGGTGCTGCATGCGTGGGATTTGAAGGAGCCCGAGCCTCGGGCAACGAGCAATTCAGCCCTCCTGCAAGCACACGGCGCTGCTGTTGGCTTTCTGCTTGTGCCTGCTCTTCCAGCTTGCTCCTCAGTGCAGGGCACAGCAATATCTACACCTACGTATGCACTGGATGGGATGCACAGGGTGGGAGCCCAGAGAGCCAGGTAATTTCCATCCCTGAAGGATGCTGCTTGGCCAGTGCGTTGCACCAGAGCCCTGTACTGTACCAGTTCAGCTCTGTGGTGGGAGCTGGGGGACCTGCAGGAGTGGCAGCAGGGGGTGAGAACTCAGGAGCATTGCAAGTGGGGAAGGAGAGAGCATCCCACAGCCTCCCAGGAGAGCCTGGTAACATCTCAGGGAGCTAAAACATCTCCGTGTCTGAGCCTGATGGCGGGGAGAGGCAGGCAGGGTGTCCTAAAGGGGGGCAAAATATAAGGAGGGGGAAGGAACAGCCCCGGGCTCTGCCAGCACATGCAGGCGCACCCCAGCCCGCGTGCCTCCCCGGGCTCACGCGCTTGCTGGGATTACACGGGGATTAGCACAGAGCAGCCTACGGGGAACGGGGAGGGAATAAAACCAGCCAGGAGCATGGGCACTGAAAATGTCGGCCAGCACCCTCCGTGCAGGCAGGAGATGGAGCTGCGTTGGGTGCCGGCGCTGTGCGGAGACAGGGAGCGAGAGGGAGGTCACCCGCTGGCTCCTCCGCAACAACAGCGTGGAAAGGACCCGAGAGGCTTCCTTGTGCTGGGGAAAATCTAGCGAGAATCGGGGAAAAAAAAAAAAAAAAGCTCGTGGCGGCCAGCTGTCCGCCGCCTCCACCCAAGGCAAAGTGCGTGGACCGATAGCGCTGCGAGGAATTCCTGCTTCTGAGCACTTGCAGGATGAAACGGAGAGGTCGGAGGAAAAGGCAGAGCTGCCAGCTCATGATTTTGTCATTAGTCTCACAGTGCTGGATGCAGATTTTAAAGCCCCAGCTGTGGGAGTCGTGGGATAAGCGAGAGCTTGGCTTGCATTAAAAAGGTACATTGCTAGACTTCATGTTTTGTAGGGGGGAAACCAGTGAAAATATGACTCAAGTACATCCTCATGACTTAAAATGAATGTCAGAAAGACAAGGAATGTAAATAGTTTGGGGGCTGATTCTTTCTTTTTTTTTTTTTAATATATTTTTTTAGCCCAGTAAGTCAGACTTGTGATTTTACAGGGAGATCACCGCTCTCCACAGTAGGAAAACCAGGGCTGCCTTGATATACTGTGTGTGCAGGATAAATATATTAAAGTTGTGCGAGTTACTCAGATGCTGTGCTAACACTGGCCATAAAAATCACCTTAGATATAAGGCAGGCTCCTTGGGGAAGGGGCTAAGTGCACTCAACAAATAATGAATAGAAATAAAAATAAATATCAAATGGCCCATAAAATCAAACAATAATGGTAACTAGAAAGTTCCTGGATCTGCTGTGAGAGATAAAATCCCATCAGCAGTATGAAATAACAAGAAATACCCCCTTTTGGTTCCTTCTCCACATGACACAAGTCAGCACGCCTGGTCACCAGAGCAGTTATGGAATACATCTTCCTTCCAGAGTCTTATAAATGCATTTTTCATGCTTTGGGAGACCTTCTGGGGTTCAATTTAACTGGGATCTGGGGAACATGTGAAAGGCATTTACAGCATGCGGCACAGCCTGGGTTTTCCTGCCGGGGAAGCAGAGGTGTAACGTTCGCAGCTCCCATCCGCCGAGCCGCCCGGCTGCGAGGGACGCAGGGCTCCACAGCGCAGCCGGGCTGGATGGCAGCGGGGCTGCTTTATGGCTGCGCACGTCTTGGACTGAAATGTAAGCGCTTGAAAATATAGAGAGGAACCTAAAAAATAAAGAGTGAAAGCGTAGAGCGTAAACCTTGTAAAGAAGGGGGTGTGCTGCGGGGCTAAGGCTACGGAAAGTGGCCCCGGGAGAAAGTGGGGAGTATCGAATGGAGCAGAGCTGGTGGTGGAGGGAGCA